TTTGCAAGCTGAGCAGAGTCAGGTGGATTCATCCTCTACTTGATGGTCTTAACAGTTGTCCTCCTCCTGGCTGCACATTTGAATCAGCTGAGGAAGTAAAAAACATACCGATACCAGGCCCCAGCCCCAGAGATTCCGATTGAATGTTTTAATTTTTTTGTTTGTTTTATTTTTGTTTGTTTGGTAAAGCTGCCTAATATTGAAAACCACTGGTTTAGAAAAAGCTTTTCCTGAATAAGGTTAACGTCCATCAGTCATCAGTGATGTGTCCTAAGGCCCTGCTCACACCCTGACCAGGTGATCCAGAAAATGAAGAAAAGTCTCTAGAAATACAAAGCTAGAATGTCAATGGAAAACCAGTATCCTGAATAATTCATAAAACTCAAATACTTCATATAATTCAAATTCATATAATTCAAAAATGCATAACCCAAAACTGAGCTGAATCCCTAAAACTGCATGGAATTTAACCTACACTTAGAAATGAAATTGAATATTGAAGTGCAGAACAGAGAAAGTGAGTCTAAAGATGGCTCTGATGAAAAATACCTAGGGGATTTTCATTGACAATAACTCCTACACTCTTAGTATGTGTGATATGTTTACCTAAGATGCTACTTTGACTTAGACTCAACTCTTTTCTTAAATGGAGCCCGTGGCCTTGGGCTAGCTTAGCTCTCTGAGCTTTAGTTTGTTCGTATACATCAGTCTTGTATACAATGCCCCTCAAACTTCTATGTCCCTATGAGTCAGCTGAGGTTCCTGCTAATGCACAGAATCATATGCAGTAGGTCTGGACGGGGTCCTAATAAGCTGCCTGCGGATGCCTATGGGGCTGGTACACAGATGAACACTTCGAGCAGCAAGGTCTTAGAAGACGTTATGAGGATTAAATTAAGTGGCCTACATTAAATGCTTGGCACAGACATGGTTGGCAGCCTACAGAAGAAAAGATTTAAGAAAATAATAAAATGTGGTGAAAACCTAGAAGTCCCATGATCCAATCCTCTTTTCCAGATGTGGAAACAACAGGTTGAGAAAAGTTAAAATAGCTACTTCCTAACAGCCAAAGGTATGTAATGAGACGTAACATTCTCTCCTCACCCCTGCCCCCCAGAAGAGACTTTTTTTTTTTTTTTTTTTACTTTTTGGGAAAAAGTACAAGCAAGATCAATGGGTGAAAGTTAAAGACAGCTTTTCATTCCATACAAGGAGAAACCTCTTTAACAATAAATGCTGTCCTATAATCAACTGGCCTTCTTTAGGAGAGAGAATGAAGTCCCCATTTACAAAATCCAAGCATAGACCAGTTGGTGATATTAAAGAAGACATGCTTCGGGTCACTGTTAAACACACAATAAGTACAATTAAAAAATAAATAAATCAGGAACCTCATTTCCCTCCCCCACTCCAACGGGAAGTCTTCTCTGTAGTAAATTGAGATACTTAAATCAAAAAGCTTTGAAGTCGTTATCCTTAACTTCTGTTCTCTCACTCCTCACATCCATTCCATCAACAAACCCTAATGTTGTGCCTTCAGTGTCCATACTCCAATTCCTTCTCACCATCTCCATTAAGACGACCCTGGTCCGAGCCACTGTCTCCTCTGCCTGGATTACTACAATAGCCTCCTAACATGTTTCTCTGTCTTCAAGCCATAACCTTCTACAGTATTTTCTCAACACAGCAGCCAGTGTATTGCCACTTCTCTGCTCAACCCCTTCTGATGGTTCCACATCTCCTTCAGGGTAAAAACCAAAGACTATATAATAGTTTACAAGGTCCTACATGCTCTTCCTCCTCAAACCCTTGATCACATTTCTTGTTATTCTCCATCTTTTTTCACTCTGTTTCAGATGCCCTTGAACTCAGTGTTTCCTTGAATCACATTAAGGACACTTCTGTCTCAGGACCCTTGCACTTGCTCTTCCCTTGGCCATAAAGGCTATTCTCTGAGATTTGCACATTTATGTCCCACATTGCCAATACAGGGTGGGGCAAAAGTAGGTTTACAGTTCCTTGTATAACAAATAATACAATAATTAATTAATAATAATACAAGAATAAACTGTGTTTTGCATACTCACAACTTGTAAACCTACTTTTGCCCCACCCTGTTGGTATATGAAACAACCAAAAGACCCCTAACAGAAGCATTCTAATTGCTTTCTGTGGAAAAAAGTACTCACACTTAGCTTAAAGGTCAGCACTTTACTTTCCATAGTTGGTACCGATGAAGAAATGGGTGAGGCATCCCAGTTCCAATTGTGACTTAGCTTCATTTTTTAAAATCACACTTGATCAAATCCCCTCTTAACACCAAGTTAAGAAAGACGAGGGGCAATACTCCCACATCAGAGCACTGAAAGAATCACCCTTCTGATGCCCACTGGTCTGTAACCCAGGCTTACCCCACTTGTAACATGAACAAACATCCGAGAGTCAGTGTCACTATGCTGTCCACAGGGAATTACATATGTTTTCTCCTTTTAAAACCAAAGTTCCTCAGCTGAGCTTGAGAAAACCTGGCCACCACTAGGTAGCCCTGGATGGAAATTAGAGAAAGCTGGAGCACGGCATCCAGGTGGGTTCCTTCCCAGAAGAGGAAGTCACGGCTGCAGACAGACAGCTCCCTCGTGGGACTCATGTCAGGGCTGCTGTGCAGGGTGGTTCTGGTTCACTACACAACAGCAGAGGCACCATGCACAGCGTTCGTTGTGCAGCTACTCCAGCCACTCAGCTTTCAGGGCTCAGAAACTGAAGCCACTCTTGGCTTTTACAGTCAAACAGCTTCGGAGGGAGGGAGATAAATGCATCTGATGTAAGAATTAATGTAAGCAAGGAGAGGAAAGAGGAAAGTGAAAACAAAATTCTGGCCCGAGCTGAAGTGCCCTGGGAGAGAGGGTACACTTTGGATGTCAACTTCAGCCTCAGTTCCTCTCACCTTGCACTCACAGTTCACCCCCCACCCCTAATCTCTTCCTCAAAAGCAGGATACTTCCTGACACAAACCCATAATCCTCAGGGGCTGCCTCAAAACCCCCTGGGCTGTAGTTTAAGAAAGCAGAGCAGTGCTTTCAAGAACTCAAAGAGCAGGAAAGCATACTCCTGTCTATGGCTATTTCTCAGCCAGAGAATCAGATTTGTCTTTTGTAAGGAACCTTCTCTGTGACTCTTCCTCTAGGGCGCCCAGTGTAGGGGCTGAGGGAGACCTAAGAACATGGAATCCAGCTCATGGGTGAAAAAGAACAGAGGCATAAAATCGGCCAAAAAGATGTTAAACATGCAACTCAGCAAGAGGCCTCATCCATCTTCTCTTGTACAAAAGCCGAAGACAACCGCTTATGGGGGAAAACAATGGGAACTCGTGGCACAGTCGCAGGCAAGGACATGGGGCGCAGCAACACTAGGGCTTGCTTTGGATGCCGCATGCTAAATACTTGTCTCGTTCCTGCTGCTGAAGGACGGAACTTGCCCCACTTAGGACTTCATCCTGCGCCCCTAGTTCATGACATGAGGCACGCTCATTCATGCCTGTGGTCTGTGCAGCACGTCACATTAAGCAACACGCCACACAAAGGCCGGGCATTAAAATTCTGGGGAAATCATTTGGGATCAACAGTATTTCTTGACTTAATTCTCCACTGGGCGTACATAACACATTACTGATCATCCAATAAACTTAATTAATGTAACCACAGGCAATAGGGAACAATAATTTTTCTTTTTCCATAGAAATAAAAGCCTTTGCGTAGGAAAAATATATTGTAAACTTTTAACCGATGAGTCCTCTTCACCCCACAGACTCATTTTGAACATACTATCCAAGGAAATGCTATTTAAGTCAGGCTTGGTGTGTACCTCTTTATGAATCAAACCGTTGTCTAATTTATCCTTTGGGAAATGGGTTTTTATATAACAGACTGGCTTAAAATGAGGTATATTTGTGCTGGATAATTTGCACAACAATAGCTCATTTCCAAAATTTATACACAGGACTATCAGGGGAAAGGCCATATTTTTTTTTTCATCCCATCTTTAACAATCCAATCACAATTATTATTTTTTTTTTTAGTATTTAGGCTGAGAGAATATTTGAAAAAATACTTTCTCAAGGTGAGTAGAATCTCAAGAAAATATTTACAGGGACTGTGTATGCCAGAAACTAGTAGTGGATGAGAAGTCAGACCTGGGAGACCCAGCGCCTTTGGGGAAAGCAAATGGCTCCACCAAAACTCCCTCTTCCAGCCTTAATTGGTCAGATGCCAAAATAAATGAACTTTCCAAAGTTAGGAGCTTCACAACTTTCACTGGGGATAACTGCAGGTGCACAAGCCTTGGCCAGAGAGCCCACTGACCCAGGTGTGCCCAGAGGTGGCAGCTGGTCATGCCAGGCGCCAGGCCCAGGCCGCCTCCACGCCGAGGGACCCGCAGGGAACGGGTTCAGGCCCGGCTGCCCAGGACCTGGGGCTCCCTGTCCCCTACCCAACGACGGATCCCTCCCCGCCCTTCTCACCCAGACCAAAGAAGGGAAATGGGCGCTTCAGCGCGAGGATGACGAGCGAGCGCCCAGTGGGATTCAGTCGCTACACGGGCCGTCCCCAACTCTCAACTTCCCAGACTTTTCCTCGGGCCTCGGCCCCCTTCCCAGGGCTCCGAGGCCGTCACGGCCTCCCCCGGCCCGGAGCGCAGAGCCAGGGGAAGGGGGCGCGGAGCTGTGCGCTCTGGAGCCGCCCCCAGGAGCCCGAGCGTTGGTAGCGCAGGTGGCGGGCGTGGTCCCTCCAACCTTACCCCAGCCCACCTGGACTCGGCCTCCGCTCAGCAGCCTCCCCCGGGGTCCCCGCCCGGATCCGGCATCAGGCCCGGGGGCGCTAGCTCGTGGGCAAACCCCCGCTCCCTTCCTTCCAGTCCGCGTCGCTCTTCTGCCTCAGGCCCCGGCGCGGCCCCAACTCCCAGCCCAGGGCCCTCCGACCGCGCCGGGCAGTGGCGGCGGCACTCACCTGGGTCGCGGAGCCGGGGTCTGGCGCGGTCCCGCAGGTGGTAGATGAATTCCTGGCAGCTGTCGTGCTCCAGGGCCCCGCGGGCACAGAGCTCGGCCAGCAGCTGCAGCGCCTGGTGACAGAGCGCGTCCCTGGCCCCGGGCATCGCCCCCCCGCATCCTCGGACCGCGCCGGGCAGGCGGGCGCGGGAGACAACCCTCCGCCTGCCAGCTCAGAGCCGCCGCCTCCGGGCCGTCCGCGCTCGCCGCCAGGGACCCGCGGAGAAACGGCCCGAGCCCCAGCCCCAGCCGGCCCGGCCTCCCACCGGTTGCATGCAGCTCTTTGCCAGCCGGTCGGTCGGGCTTTCTCTCTCTCCCTTCCGGCCCCTCCGTCCCTCCCCCGGCACCGGGAGAGGTGGCGCCGCACAGCCCAGCGCGCCTCGCTCCTAGCGCTCCGCCCGCCACTCACGGCCGCCAGGGGCGGGGCCGGGTCAGGGGTGCGCGCCGCGGAGTGGGATCTCGGTGGTCCCTGCTGGGGCTCCCGCGGGGAACTCCGGGCGCTCGCCGGCTCCTAGAGGAGCGCGGGACTCCGCTCGCACCTCGCGCTCAGAGCGGTGGCACCCAGGTTTGGAGTGTATGAGGGGGTGCGCGCTCCGGCCGCTCTCGCCACCGCACCCCTCCGACCTGATGCAAGTCAACCTCTCCCACCTCCCGTCGCCGCGTGTGGCCACAGCACGTTTTGGGTTGCGGTGCGTGGAGGAAAAGGTGCAGACTGGACCACACCTGCCAGATCTGGAGAACATTGGGCCGGTTTCAAACTTGAAAAGCACCGCCTGTCCAAAAACCACGGGCCTAAGAGCACTAGATGCCCAAATGTGGGGTTTGGGGCCAAGGGTCGCCATCAAAGGAAAGATTTCCCAAGCGCAGGACCTTTTCCACCACCTTGGTGATTGGGAGAAGGTGGAGGCTCTCAGATCAGAACTAAGGTCAAATGGGGCCCGAGAAACACATTAGGACTTACCTGGAGCTTTGTAGATCATGGCTGGTGTTCTGAGCAATTGATTGGACATCCGAGGATTGCCAATGTGTTTCCAGCACACACCGAGGAAGGGTATCACAGAATTTGGGAATACAGGGCACCGCTCATACATCCACCTCTTCAGCCTTTCATGCAGTAAGCCCAGAAATAACTACATAGTGCTGAGCTCTTTTGTGTGTGTGCGTGCGTGCTGGGCACTGTACCACAAGCCTTTTACACATATAATCTCATTTAATTCTCCGGATGGCCCAACAAGGTCTGTATAAGTGCCATTTTGCCAATGAGAAACATGAGACTCAGAAAAATGGTACCTGCCATTTTTCATTATATGGGAAGCAGGGTAACCTTGGTTTTTGTTGTTCTTGTGGCTTTTATACACTCGTGTCCAGGCGCCACTCTAAAACAATTGGGGTAGAATCTCTATAACTGGCATTCCTAGCCATAAGGTTGTGTTGTTGCTAGGGACATCTCATAGCAAAGCATGTGCAGAAAGGTAATTCAGGGTCCCACAGGAACGCTTTGAAATCCTGCTGTGACTGGTGCTAGGGCCTGAAGGACCTTCCATTGCAGCAGTTTTCAGCCTTTTCATCTCATGGCACACATAAACTAATTACTAAAATTCTGCAGCACGCACCAAAAAAAATTTTTTTTTTGCCGATCCAACCAAAAAAAAAGGTATAATTTTGTTTCATTCACACTGGATAGCTTTGTTATGTTAGCTATTGTCATATTTTTATTTGCATCTTAGGGAAAAGAGGTCAGTGCCCGTGACTAAATAATCAGATATTGCATGTTTTAAAAATTCTTGCAGCGCACCAGTTGAAAATTGCTGTTCTATTGGAATAGCAGAGAAAATGCAGAGTTGTAAAGGTAACTCCAGAGTTGTAAAAAGGCAAGTACACTTTCTACCCTAAGAAATTAGAAAGGAGAAGAACCTGCTGAGAGGGAGCCTGTGGAGGGGGTAGAGCAGAAGCTGGTCCTGAAAGGAGGGCAAGACATGTGAGGTGAAAAAAAATGTCCTTTAGATGGAGCAGACAATAAGACACAAAATTTAGAGAAAATGGTTACTGTGCAACCTCCCTTGTGGAAGTTACTTAGCGTTTTTTTGCCTAAGGTTTCTCATTAAATCATACTAATATGTGCAGCACTGGGTTGTTATAAGATTACATAAAGTATTTAGCATAGTGTTGCCACATAGTAGGGGCTCAATCAATATGTTTTTGTGGTTGCTGTTGTGTGTCTACCACAATGTGCTATGTGCTAAACACAACCTCCCTAAGTGGCAGATGCTATAATTTCCTATTTTACAGGTGAAGAAAGTGAAATCGGGTGTTTAAATAATTTTCCCAAGAACACATGGGTAGATTGTTTCCAGAGACAGTCACCTGTCCTTCTGCAATGTGACTTTACCACTACTCCAACCAAGACATCAAGTCTATTTCCCTTCCCCCTAAATCTGAGCTGGCACTACAACTTACTTTAGCCAACAGGGTGTGTGAAAGTGATATTCTGGTGTCAGAATGGTGATTGGCTAGAATGTGGAGAAAAGGGAACCCTGGTGCACTGATGGGGGAATGTAAATTGGTACAGACACTATGGAAAACAGTATGGAGATTCTGTAAAAAGTTGAAAATAGAACTACATATGATCCAGCTAATATATATATATATATAGATTTCTTTATTATCTCAAAGAAATATGTGCACCCCCATGTTCACTGCAGCATTATTCACAATAGCCTAAACGTGGAAACAGCCTAAGTGTCCACTTACAGACAACAGATAGAGAAAATGTGGTGTGTGTATATATGTATATATTACATATAAACAGGCATAAAAAAGAGGAAATCCTGGCATTTGCAACAACATGGATGAACATGGAGGGCATTATGCTAAGTGAAACAGTGAAATAATCCAGAGAGAAAAAGACAAATATTGTACAGTATCACTTATGAACAGAATCTAATATATATATATATATATATATATATATATATATATATATATGCAATTTTGCCAACTATTCCTCAATAAAGGCAGAAAACAGAAAATTAATAAAAGGAATCCCAGAATCCCACGGGTCTTTCGTGCTGCTCTTAGACCATATCCTCATTTCTGGTCCCAAGACCCAGGTTCTATACTTCAGAAATGGTTTGCGATTCCTAATGGCAGAACTGTGTATTATTGTCATTTTGTTTGATTCGGTTCCTTGCCAGACAGTTGCCTTTAACAAGAGAAAATAAGATTCAACTGGCAGGACTTGTTTTGTGTGAACCCATGCTGTCTCCAGTGATTAGCACGCCGATAAAATACCCACAAACCTCCTGCTTCATTATTCCAAACAGGTTTTCATCCTCTCACTTGATTTAGAGCCTCACATATAATTCACCTGGACCAGAAGACCAGCACTGAGCTCCTGTTATGTGACAACTCTCCCATCTTGGGCATCGATCTCCTTTTAAATCTCCGAGCTTGGCCCTTCCCTGTTTGGAGTTCATTTTTCCTGAGAGATAAAATAAAGGCAAATTTTGGATTGGGTAGCTCCACTTTGTCATGTGTCTGTTATTGTACCAAGTAGCAAGTTGTTTAGGATGTTCAAAATCTTTATTCTTCCTTCCTGGGTGTGTGAGTTCCTTCTGAGATTTATAATTGCCAATTACAAAGTTTTAACTCCAATTGTTTGACTTGAAAGAGTAGAGATTGATCAGCTTTAACATTTAAAAGATACCCCAATTAAAAGAAGGATTATGAAGGCAACAGAAGGCGAAGTTCCGGGTCAGAAGGCCTGGCACTCCTCCACTGTCTCCTCTTAGAAGACATTCATGGCCCCACATTTATTCATCTTTTCAGAATGAGGCCAGAGGAGAGAGCAGAGGTGAGAGATCTGCTGACTGAGAAACATGGACCTCAGGACCCTCCACCATCAAGAATACTTTTGGTGTTCCTTGAGCTGCCTTTCAGAGCAGCCAATGTCCCTTACCCGGGCAGGTCAGGGAAACTGCTGGAGTCACTCTGGCTGCTGGAAAGAGAGAGGATGATGAAGTCCAAAATTGGCTAGACTGTTCACAGTGGTCGTGGGATCGTGGAATATCCAACTAAAGAGCTGCCAGAAGAGAAGATTCAAAATAACCAGCCTTTCCTCACCTTCCACAGAAAGCTTCCCTCCATCCTCAGGGCTGAAAATGGATGTAGAGCCCAGCCGGCGTGGCTCAGTGGTTGAGCACTAATCTATAAACCAGGTCACAGTTCCATTCCCCGTCAGGGCACATGCCCGGGGTTGTAGGCTCGGTCCCCAGTTGGGGGCATACAGGAGGCAGCCAGTTCAATGATTCTCCCTCTCCTTTCCTCTCTGAGATCAAGAAAACTGTATTTAAGAAACAAAAGCAAATGGATGCAGAGCAGCTTGACCTGCGCTCAGGTGCCTGGCTGTTAAGAGGTCAATGTGCTCACTTTGGGGTGAGAATGTTACGGTATTAAACACTTAAATAAGAGTTTCAACAATCCCTTTCTTAATTTTTTGTTTAGCAATAAATGGCTTTGACCAAAATCGCTGTGTAGAGACAGAGACAGAGAGAGCGAAGCATCCATTTTATTGCCCTCTAGCCTTATTCAGAAGAATCAGCCTGTATAAACAAACCTCATTGCGTTGGCCAGTGTGGCTCAGTAGGTTGGTCATCATCCTGTGCATTGAAAGGTTGCTGGTTTGATCCTAATTGAGGCAGCTAATTGATGTTTAGCTCTAACATCAATGTTTCTCTTTTTCTCATTCTTCCTCACTCTCTCAAAATCTTGAAAAAACAAACAAAAAAACCTTGTTACTAATTTATTACCCAAGCCCTAACTTTGCTTAGATTCCTCATTAATATAAACTCATGTCAAGTCTTCATGAATTTATAGTTTTTTTGTCTAAAAATCATGAAAAGCTGGGCTGGTTCCATCATTTTTCTGAGCATCATTCTTGATCTCCCTCCCATGTGCACATATTAATCTGGTCTTATGTCAATTTTATTATGTGTTTAGCCATAAGCACTCAAGAAGGGCAGTGGGGGAATTGCCCCCTCTCCAACACTATTGAGTGCTCACTAAGTGAGGATATTTTGATACAACTTCTGGGCTGAATATTAAATTTCCATACTTAAAACTTCTTTTTATATATTGCATTCGCTATCCAAAACTTTATCCTCTCACTATTGCTTATACTTTGAGTTGTCCCTATTGCAAATCTTGACTTTTCTTTCCCACCTCTAACTACCTGGTCCTAATTTCCTTCCTTCTCATTTTCTTTCCATAAATTCAT